ATGCATATCTGAGTATTGGCTGTATGGATTTTATGATGAAGCCCTTAATGAGAATTATTATTCACGGTTAATTTGCGTGTGGAGGGATGAATAAACGTGGTATTTATCTGTGAGATGTAAATATACTACCAAATTGAAATGAGCTAGTTTGTCTAATGAACTTGGCCGCATTTCTTAACCAGTTGCAAAATGAACGTGATGTCTCTTTTGCAGGGGCGATTAGAGTAAATAAAGACAAAGTTTAAACATCGTTTTTTGCTGTTAAAACCTAAATTAATGGTCCCTACAAATGTTAAAAACCAAATGAAAACCCAATTAGTGGCTCTTGTTTGAGGTCTCCATCTCAATAATGTTTTGGGCTACGAATATTATCAACTTACAGGTAATTGTAGGATGATTAAGCCATAAGTATGATGATTATAAGTCGTCTTTTCCTATGAATGGATTTTATCGGGAGATTCTACGGTCCCGTTACGGAACCATTCCGTCGGGTTTTGTAACCGTTAGATCAACTATCTATGATCTACAACGGTTACATGATGATTTAACGATTACAAATCTCGACGGAATAGTTCCGTAATGGGACTGTAGCATTTCCCAATTATATCATGCATTCGTAGGATAACCATAATGTTCACGTCAATCTCATGAAATTGTATCACAATCAATCAAGGAGAGAGTAACTCACACGAGTATAATAAACACCCTTTTACGGGTTGGATTAATACACGAATAGTAAAAATGTGTGAGTTTGTGATCCAAAGATGAGAAGATTGGTGAGGACACCCAAATATGAATGGTAGTATAATTTAAAGAAACAAATCAATTGAGAGAGATATACAACTGATTCAAGAACATACAGTAAACTTAACACAAATTCTTGCGTGAATCTAAGAGTTAAAACTCAAAAAAAGCGAAAAGAGGGGAAGAGTTTAGGCCATCCACGACACGCCACAACAACCGATTAGAAAAAAGCTCTCAAATTTTAGTGTACCGATGATATAAGAAAGCATCATAGTGTCGTGTGTCTTTAGTTGCAGCTAATGCTAAAATCCACAGTCATCTAAAATCAAGACTTACTCCAACATGAAGCACATTAACAAAAAATCACACAAAAGCTGTAGTTGGTTGAATCAAACTGGACTTCCAAGTTCCGACTAATGCTTAAAAATCACACACCATATCTCCTCATATTCTATTTACTGCATTTCCTCTCTTTATTTCTTTCCTTTTTCCTATTCATTTTTATTAAATCAAGTTTGCAAATTATTTCAATATTTTCTGAAAGTTAAATTGAGACGACCGGGTTTAAGTCTCGTCTCGTTCAGCAGGGCACGAGGAGCTGTGTGCGGAATAACAGCTGTCACACCATGGAAAATATGCCTAGATTTTCCGCCAAATATAAGCACGTCACCTGATTCTAACAAGACGCTCTCAGCCTTGTCCACGCTCCTATGATCGCCATACAGAAAATCGGCCGAATCGCCAATAGATACAGAGACAACAGGAAGACCTTTTGCAAGACTCTCCTTGCTTTCATCACGATCCTGTAAAACGGGAATCATTATAAGTCAAACCCCAACATGTTTGAATATACATTTTTTAACTTTTGTAGTTAAATTTAATACATAAACTCGTAGGCGCGAAGCTATATCTCATCACACCAAATATATTGTCATACCAATTATGTAATCTGTATTTGCTCTTCAGCCAGAGAAAAAAGATATTATACGTAGCGAAAGCTGAACTGAGTTGACTCGAAACCAACCTGGTGAAGACCGAGTCGCCCATTAGTAGTATAAAAGTTGACTATACACACATCTGGGGACATTGCAGGAAGTATGTCCTCGACATTTGCTCGACTATTCATGTCTCTTCTGAACACAGCATGAGAGTCGCTGAGTGCTCTGCCGATCAAAGAAGAGAATTCATGAGGAATATCAGGGGGCACAACATTATCATGCTGGCGTATCTTTTCGTACTTTCTCGTTTGAGGATTCCAATCTTGACCCAAGCACATCATGTATAGGCGGAGTTTAGCACCATCTTCATAGCCGGGTCTGTAGAAACCACCAGGACCACAACCTAGTTCTCGGCATCTTTTGATTATGCTCACCTGCAGGTAAAGCACGAGTAACTAAATCTAAAGTACGATATAGTTCCATGTTAATAATATGATTAAATATAGGAAGACAGACAAAAAAGTTCCCCTTGCATAACATCGTTATTTGAGGGAATGTAACCAAATTGTCTTACTACGCACATGTATCGAATTTGGAGATCATTCACTTATGTCCTAACTTGTCAATAGCAAGAAGAGTTCCCAGACTTGATGGTGTCAAATTTTCATTTTGATGCATTCAAACAAATCCAGGGACTAAAGTAATCTTTGAAAAAAAAAGTCGAAAGGTAATACCAAAATTACATAAAAATGACAATACCTTCAAGACAAAAAACAAGACGCGTCAATATACACAAAAAGAAAGAGGCCGAAAATACAAAATCAAGATCAATTTTTTTTTTTACAAAAAAAAAAA